AGCTCCGATTGGCCGGTGACTCCTCTCCGCAGAGCTCTGCTATTGGCTGACTCACCGTAGTGCAGTTTGACGATGAAGGGATGGTTGACCTCCACCAGGATGTCTCTCTCCATCTTCGTCCTGACCCGGTCACGCACTGGAAACGCAAACAGAAAACACAGAATCAGCAGGTTAATCCTCCGTTGTTCGGTTTCTGTTTTGGCTGCAAAGGAGTAACTGGGTCATGGAGGAGAGTGAAGGAAACATGCAGCAAGAAAGAGAAAAATAAGAAAGAGAAATGAGTAAGAAAGAAGAGGATGCTAAACAAAGGAGCATGCTGTGCTTTATTCGAGCAGCAGATGGCGTCTGACTTAAATCAAAGCTCATTTAAAGAATTTATTTCAGTTCTCTCTCTCAGCACATTAGTTTTCTAAATTAATTTTTAAATGGAGCTAAATTAACTTAGAAATTAGAAATGAGTGTTAACGTTTCTGGTAATGTGTTTAGGTGACTTTTCAAGGCACAACTTCTACTTTGAAGGAAAGAGTTGTCTGCAGCTCTCTGAAGGAGTCTTTCCTTCCCACTGTCACCAGTTGATTGATTGGTGGAGTTTTCTCTGCACTGTTATATTGTGTTTCTCTTATAACACAAAGCACCTCGTGGAGACTGTTGTTGTGATTTGATGCTATATAAATAAACAGACTGTGCCATCTGCCAGCAACCAAAGCAAACTTTGCAACCAATCCCGTGTTTCAGCGACTGGTCGTCACCAATCAGTGTCCAGGCGTAACCAGCCAGCTACAAGAACTGTTTTGATATCTAAGCATATTTGTTCCCATCATTACATCTGTGCAGGAGTGAATTTACTCATTGCTCTAAAATGCAGTGAATGCAACCTGCCGGGCGACCTGCTCATTTGTGTGCTTTTATTTTGATGGAGCCGCACTTCCCCGGAGGCGGAAGTAGCTCCGTTCGGAGTTTTCTCCACACCGCCGATTGATCAACACACCAGCTGCGGCGAATTATTACTGTCTGACGCCGATGTATTTAACGCTGTGACCAGGCTTCATCAGCGCTGGATCATTAGACTCGTTAGTACAGTTTAGATGGTTGGTTCTAATTTCGGAAAGCTTCTCACTCCTTTTTGTCTTTCGCACCAGGAAGTGGAGAGGAAAACACGGGAGCTGAATGCACGGAGTGTCGCCTGCCTGCACATCGCCAAACTGCACTTTCGAGAGCCGGGAGAATTCACCACGGGGCGCCGCGGCCAAAGGACGCCACACTGAACTGTTATTATTTTGCACTGTAAATAAAATCACCGTCTCTTTGCAAGTGGAGATCTGCGTTCAAGTCCACTCCATCCACACTCCATGACAGTTTATTGCCTTTTGGAGCATTTGGAGACAAAAAGGTGGGCGTGGCCTTCTTTTATATACAAACACAGTCTGTGGTGTTGTTGCTGGTTTTAGTGATTAATGGCCCTGCTGTTCAGTTTTCTACCTTTCAGTGTGGCTTTCTTCAACACCTTCATGGCGTACAGCTGACCAGCGTCCGGTCCTGTGATCTTCCTCACCAGAAACACCTACACACACACACACACACACACACAGAAATAATAATAAATCATCGTTACTGATTAAATGTAAGAGCTGGATGTCATTATGCACGCTGTGAGTGTCGTTTGTTTCTGTGTGAGGATGAGAGTTTGTTTATCCAGGTCGCACTCATGAAGATTAACATAAACACACACACACACACACACTCGGAGCCCAAGCAGGAGGCTAATTGCTCGTTCATAAAGACGATGACACTGAGTGCGAGAGTGAAGGGCCCTCAGCCTGCCATCACCATAGCAACTCACTCTCAAACACTGGCACGAGGGAAACGTTACAGGAGAATTGAGTGGAAG